CTAATGAAATGTGATCTAAAATAAAAGCTGTACGATTTGGTTGCATTCCAAATTTAATTTAAACTTTTTTTTTTTTGCCTTTATATGGTTTGCTACTGTACATATGTTTAAATGTGCGAACCTTTATTGGCAGTAACTTGAAAACAATACCTCCTCACTTTGTGGTGCTAGCCAATAGCCACGTCTCCTCCAAAGTGCTAACAACCACAGCATCGGTAAACAATGTGATTCACTGGGCAAGTTTTTGGAGGATTCATTCTTCACCTAAATGCAGCTGGCTGTGGATTGTGTACCTCTGCTCAGGGTCAGTGTCATGTGTCTGAATGAGTCATTTTCAGCAACTTTAATGGGTGCATTTTCTTGCAAATAAGAGACTTTATCGCCTCAGTAATTTCCTTTTAGCAAATGAGTTCAGGGACACCGTGCTTGGGAAGTTGTCAGTTCTGGCTCTGTTGCTTGTGCTCAGTGATGTCTGACCTCTTTGTATTGAATTTGGTCGAGATCTGTTGTTTTTATATTGCAGTAGCCTTATCTCTGAATCGCACATACCTGTTCATCTTTACACCCCTGCTGGGTATTAAAATCCACTTGCCTCATCACAACTGGAATAAGCACATGCATATGTGTAGATTATGTTTCCCACGACAACGGCAGCTTTTGCATCTATTAAGCTGTGGAGAACCAGCTCAGTCTAGGTTGGTGTAATCACAGTTTGGGCTCGTGTGGACAGCGTGCAGCATGTGTCTGCAGTGGAGCCGGTCGCGGTCAGCTTTGGCAGATGTTGGTGCTGAGTGGGAAAAGTGATGGATTTCTCAGTAGTCCTCTGGAGCGTCTCCAGCAGCCCAGAACCCATCTTTACCACCACCCTCCCTCCTCTCGACCACCAGCCCCCTACCGGTGACTGTTATCTCTGTGCTCCAGGCTGCTCCACCGCCACTTAACACACCAGGGGCAGTAAAGGATGGACATGCAGGAAGATGCACACACACACACATGCACGAGCACACAAACAGATAACACCACTCGGGCCTGACCAATATACTGTGGCTTCAGCGTTCTCTGTTAGAGGCTCATCATGTGGGATTTCTGATAACGCGTAACATAATGACGGGCATATTTTATTTTTTTTGTCCATCAAAAATAAACATCCAGAAATCAACTTGGAAATCGTAGAAAAAAAAAGAAGCTCATAACTTCAAAACTTTTCCTGAGAATCATCATGTTTACTTCAGTATCAAAGTAATGCAGTGATGCTTCGAGTGAATCCGGAGTGCTTTTAATGGTGCCAATTTGGCTGAATGTGTAATATATTTATATGTTGTAAAAAGTCGTTGCTTAAGATGAGGGTTGTTTGAAGGGCCCCACGGTGTCAGACTTAGAAAACCAGTGCCATAGACACACACACACAAAAAAAACTGAAAAGAGACAATGCACTTTTCAGTTTAAATTTTAGTCTATTTCAGATTTAGTTTGGCACTAATATTGACTCATTACTCACCCAAATATTGCACTGTATTGGTCAGTCACAGCCTCACCGTCATTCGGATTACATCACATCTTCCCTTGTGAAAGCCAGCAGAATCCCACATTGATCGGTGCAGATCTCGTCTAACCCAAACACCCTGCTCTCCTGCTTTATTTCATGGCATGTACTGTAAGCGGTATATTTTTTTTGTGCGTGTCATGACTCAGTCACAGCCCCGTGCTCTTTCCCTGCAGGTTCTGACACATGCAGCCTGTAGCGGAAACATTGGTGGCGATGTATCAGTAATATCGAGGGCACCGTTGGCCTGAGGGACAGCCACCCAGGCAGGTTGTCAGGAGGAAGGTCACTAGTTCACAAACCTCGACTGGCTAGGAAAATCTGGATGACGTGCCCTTTAGCAAGTCACTTAACCCCTGATTGCCCGTAGGAAGCTTCTTGTTGTCCAGCTGTAGAGGACTGTCTGTGGTTGCACTGGGAAGCTTCCAGCTGCATAACTGTGAAGCATGTTAGTGCAGAAAAAACAACATCCCTGTCAACTTTCTCCTCATAAATAAATGTTAGAATCATAATATTGCCTTCACAGCTTGTGGCTTTCCACCCACATCGTTGGAAAAGAAGACCGAAGCTTTGAAATGCTTAACGGCCACAGCAACAGATGTCAGGGAAATTGATGCGATGCAACGTTTTCGAACTGTTCTTTTATGGACTAATCTTTGCTGCAGTCTGCCTCAAGTCTGTGACCTGATGTGCCCTCTCTAAGCTCGCTGGACACATCTGTACAGTAACAGTATTTTTTCTTTTTTGTGCCATTTCTGATGCTCACTTCAGATACTTTACTTTGATGCTCAGACTCTCTTTTAGCTGGCTTTATGCTGTTATTCCTCTGCGTTAAGTTGTTTTCTTTCTAAAGGAATATGTCTGCTTAATATATGGCCACTTTGTGCTTCTCTGATATTTCTAGTTCTTGTTAGATTTAACCCAGATGATAAGTCTGTTGTTAGATGATACAACAAATGCTGTACATCCCTAAAAGACACCTAATTAATGTAACACAAGGACTGCAATGATATAGATTTATATATTATTAGTTTTTTTAATACCATTTTGATACCAGTGTGCGATGAAAAGGAGAGTATCTTGCAGCTGTATTTTAATCATTTGTGCATTTTCTTCAAAATGTTTGCATCCCTTTACTCCGATTTCTTATCTCTAACGGTTATATAAGATACAAGAAGTACTTCTCAGTGGTCTCTCGAAACATAAAGTGTCTCACATATTTAGGCGTTCCCCAGGGTGCTAATCTGGGTCCATTGAAGATTCCTAATTATCAGCGTTTATCTTTTCATTGTCCAGATCCTCTCTATCACTCTCGCCTGCTCAGCGAGGCAGCAGACACACTCCAGGCCCTCCGCTTCCCATGTGAGAGCAGAGAATCTGCCTGACATCAGACATGGGAAGCGAGCTGCAGCAGCATGAAGGGTAAAAGGTCGAGACTTGACCACCCCAGGCAGATAAAGCAGCCTTTTCATGTGTGATCAGCCCACAGCCTAAAGACAAATCCCTCAGTTCGCTGCCTTTGAACTTCACCGCAACTGGAGCGAGTCCCCCACTCGCTCTGTGGCTAACAAAGGCTGGTAGAGAGTCTGAACACACACCTCGTCGTTATTATTTAAAATACGTAGCCGTCACCTCTTTACTCTCTCCCTCATTTGAAGCTGAATGAAAAGAATGAATGTTCAACATATTAGGTATACCTGCACTTTCTGGAGACACACTAATGAGGTGATCCAGGTTGGGTGCATTTTATTTTACTGGGCTCTTAGATAATTATGAACAGCAACAGAGGAGTTAAAGATGGACTTCTAGAACGTTTTTGCGACGACGTGGCTGGAACCAAGCGTGTGAAAGATGTTGCCAGTGCAGTACATTTAGTTCCTGCAGCTCACAGTAGATGTTCCATGCAAAATAACCAGACTGAGGCAGCCTCCAGTTCTCCATCAAGCCTTTTTACAAAGCAATTATGACACTCATAACACCCTCTTTCTTCAACCCCCCTCCACTCTCTCCCATCAGTGCATAATTCATAAGCAACTCATTGCCAAAGCTAAGCCAATTGCATCCTCTCTAAACGAGCATGCAGCGCAGCGCCTACAGCAGCACAAAAGGAATGTCAGTCTCATGACAGACTATTTCGCGTTCTTTGTTTCATAAGAATGGATGTAAATAGAGGGTGTTCTTCTGCTGCGGCTCTCCCAGGTAGAGGGAATGCAAACAATGCTGAGGAGCTGGTGTCCTGTCTGTGCTCACAGGTTTCCAGATGCTGCAGCTCTGTAATGCTGCCACTTGGCTACTACTGTCTGTGAGTGTGTGTGTGTGTGTGTGTGTGTGTGTGTGTGTGTGAACACGCTGAGCTGTGTGTACACAGTCTGTATGTATATATAGAGTGCTATTTTTAAAGCTGAACCACAAATAGTAGTAACAGGGCCTAAAACGGTCCTTGCCTCTGTTGCCATTCCTGGGCTGCTGCCGTCTCATTCATTCATGAGTTTGCATGAATTTGCAGAAACACTCTGGGCTTCCTCTCTCTCTCTCTCTCTCTCCCCCCGTCTTGCCCTTTTGAAATTTTGAATTTAAAATCCTCTGTTTTTTTTATTAGGCAGCGCGGCGTATCGCGGGCCACCCTTATTTCATGGTTAGTTAGATGGATGGCTGAATTAGACACACATTTTTACACTCTTCATCTTTCTCTGTGTTGCGTGGAATTAGGTCAGCGTTCAGTTTAGGTAATAAGGCATAATGATATTACTGGACAGAAAACAGTGGCCAGCCTGGAAATGTGCCCACTCATCCTGCTCTGTGGACAGATCAGGTGTCTGGTCCTGACCGTGTAGAAAATCTAAATACGAAAAAGAATAGAAAATTATATACGTAGTTGAAAGGAGGATGAATTGTTGATGCAGATCGTGTTAAACGCAGACACAGTTTCCTGCAAAAAAATTATTACAAAACAATGGAGTGATTTAAAAAAAAAAGGAAAATATGTGGAATCCAGTCCACAGACTCGGTGGCTCCTCTCTGTTGTGCCTCCGATCGGGGGAATCACATTCGGCGTGTCAGGCGGCCCAGGCCGGGCAGCCGGTTGCCGTGGGCGACCAGCAGATCAGTGATGTGGCGGTGATGCCTCTAATGAAGCTGACACAGCACAGCCTCCCTCCTTGCGGGCCCCTGAGGGCCTCTTGCTCTGCATGTAGCACCACAAACACTCCCCTACCCCCCTCCTCCTCCTCCTCTTCGTTTCAGCCAAATGTGCTTCTGATTTGATGGCGCCTCAAATGCATTGCTGCATCATTTTTTTTTTTTTTTCCCCCTCTTGTGTATGTTGGGTCAAGGCAAAGGCAGAGTTTGTAGTAGCTAAATTGGGTCACAGTATACAAACAAAGCCCGTCTCTGCCCTTTTCAGAGTCTCTCGCTCATTCTCTCTCAGTCTGATGAATGCCTCTGTGTTGTTTTCCAGGAGCTGCCCAGCTGAGGTGAAGGGGAGGGCAGAAGATCCTAGTTCAGCCTGAGTGTGGATGACCTGCCCTCAGAAACAGGACCATGATCTGAAGAGGGTGCTGCACACAGAACCCCATTATTCCTCTCCTCCTTCTCCCTCTTTTTTTTGTTTTTATTTTTATTTTTTTCAGTCATCGCGGTGAAGGCCTCCCTATCCGGGCGCTTCGAGCAGAATCAGCGTGCACAGAGAGGGCAGCCTGAGAGTGACTAAGCATTTAAAGAGGAAGAAACACAACAACAGTGATCCGTGACCCCGGACCTTGCCACTCTCCCCTGCTCCTCCCACTGCAACACCAGAACCATGGGGAGGAAAAAGATCCAGATTCAGAGGATCACTGATGAACGTAACAGACAGGTTAGCGTCAGTGAGCAACAGTATCTGAATGTGTTACTTCAGACTGAAACCACTTCATTTCACAGCTGCATAAACAGGAGTTTAATGGTGGTACATACTGTACCTATTGCATAGATTCTATTTTATGGTAAGTAAAGTGGGATTTATTCTGTTTATTCAGTACTAGACTGATGTATGTGATCTGACTAGAGCAGGGGTCCTCATCATCAAGCTCTGCAGAAGCCTGATAACGATCCTGATCATTTGAATCAGGTGTGTTGGAAGAGGGAAACATCTGAAACATGCAGGATTGTGGCCCTTGAGGACCAGGATTGCCCACCCCTGGGCTAGAGTGTTCGCCTTGTCTCTTGTCTTCATCATCTTAGCTCTCACTTCCAACACAAGAAGCCAAAGCAGCCAATCTCCGTACTGAATCTTCTCACATGTGAAAGCACACATGAACTATGGCGTAGCTAAACTGCTACATGCTAAGGCTCCATGGCGACACAGCCAAAGACAAGATATACAAACACAGAAAAGTGTGTTTAAAGTCCCTCTCCAGTTGTTGATTTAACTCCTACAAACTCATCTCTATGTATGAAAGTCAAATATTTAGAATTTCTTTTTTGCATAAAAATAACAGCTGCCCTAAAATCAATTAGATGTAGGTGTAAACACTTGCTTCCTCTAGAGCAGGGGTGCCCAATCCTGGTCCTCGAGAGCCCCTATCCAGCATGTTTTAGATGTTTCCCTCTTCCAATACACCGGATTCAAATGATCATCTCATCATCAAGCTCTGCAGAAGCCTGATAGCGATCCTGATCATGTGAATCAGGTGTGTTGGAAGAGGGAAACGTCTAAAACATGCCGGATAGGGGCTCTCGAGGACCAGGATTGGGCACCCCTGCTCTAGACTGTGCTGGTCTGCGTAGTGCCCGCCTCTCTCTGCGCTCACCCCTCGCCACTCATGGCCGCTCAAGCTCACGAGCTCACCTGCGACTCTGCTCGAACGCTGTTAAACTACTTTACGCACTGGCAAGTTGTAACATTGGACTAAATCAGGCATGCATGTTAGACTTCGAAACTGATTCTGAAGCAGACTAACGATTAGCCCCACCTGACAGGATTTGTTACTTAGATCTGTGACACCTGAAGTCTGAATCTGTGCTTTTGAGACTGTCTCTGCTAGACTGCAGTTTCAAGGTGGAAACGTCCAGCCATGGCGTTGGCTGCTTTGTTTTGTCCATGATATGACTTCCAGCATATAAAAAAACACCATATGGAGATGTTGACAAGGTGACAAGCATTATTTTCACAACAGTCGGTCTGTAATTTCTGAGCTAAAACTCTACATTTCATCACAATCTGTTCTCGAGCATTAAGTTACACACAAGTAGTCAGGTAATGTAATGTTTAACTGGCTTGATCTTCTCTGTATAACTCAATATTCCTCCATCCTGCTCCTCAACTCTATTGTGGTGACAGAAAAGTTTTAACTCATGCGATAAGGAATTCCCACAGGGATCCAGTCTGTTTTCACGTGTTGCATGAACGGCATAGAAGCTGTTCTCTTAGCAGGGCCACAACAGAACAATATAACATCATTGTGTTTTATGAGGCTCATGTGACTCTCCCGAGCCGTCATGGGGTTTCTCAGACACCCCCCCCCCCCTCCAAGAATAAAAAAAAAAAAAAGAGCAAGAAAGTATGATATTCCCCCCCAAAAACAGCCTCAGTCCCTCTGGTTACATCAGTGGCATTGTCAGAGAGGATGAAAGGGTAAATGATCCATCTAAAATGAGTCAACTGGTAAATGGGCTTCGCTCCATTGAGCAGATTGAGTAATGGATTTGACGTGCCCACCTTCAAAAGCAGAGCGAGAAGAAAAACAAGACAGAGGGAGGCAGAGGGAGAAAAAACAAGGTGCTCGGCTGAATAAGACCTGAGCAGCGCGAGAGCGAAGTGGCCGTAGGGTTTGGAAAATCATCCTCAGTTTTCTCCTCATCAATCTTAGCAGGTTGCATTTCTATAAAGGAGAGGAAGCGGTGCCTGCAGGGGGTCAGCGGAGTATGATGGCTTGTTATTCATCAGTACACAATTGGACATAAAAGGAGGAAGGGGGGGGGGGCTGTAGCTATTTCTGGTTGGGCAGGCTCTGGTTAATGGAGCCTGCGTTCGTATCAGGTGTCCAACAGTTTGTCAATAAGGTGATGCACCGCGTGGTAATACACGGTCACGATGTCAGAATCAAAGATTACTCATTGACCGTGATCGGGTGATTAACCGGCAGAAAATGGTTTCTTAATCACTTTGGCAAACCGCTGCTGACATGATGACATTTTGATGCCGGTGTTGAACCAACGCTGCATTTAAATCGTACTTTATCAGATGTTCTCACCCAGTAAAACCGGATTCAGTTGTTCTATCAGTAACATTCAGCATTTGAAGTGGAACAGAGTATTAAGCCGCTAAAGAAATAAGTGTTTTTTGTTTTTTTTACACGCTTGCTCTGTGTTGCTTCAGCTAATGAACAGTGCAGCCTCTGAAAGGAAATCAAATGAATTTTGGAGTACATGCAGCCCCGTCACCCTCCTACATGTTGATTCAGAGATGCTGCCATAAGCTCTGCAAAATAAACAGCGTTCAGAGTGTGGGCCCCGGCTGGAAACATGACAGCATCTCAAATACCACATTTCTCACCGAGACAAAGACACACGAGAAAGAACAGAGAAAAGGACGGGTAATGGTGCAATGCTCTGATGGACTCTTTTTTTTTTTTTTTTGGAATGATTATTTTTGGATAACGTTTGTCACATCAAAGATAACACTGAAAGAGTTGACTTGTCATTAACACCGTGACCCATTTTAGCAGCAGGATGTGAGCGGAACACAGATTTCCTTCCCAGAAATCAAAGAATCTTGAATATTTATAATATTTCACATTTATGCCAAGCAACAGCTGTAGAACATTTAGCGCACCGCGAGGAATACATCACGGTGATCGTTACCTGAGAAGAGAAATGAGAAAACGTTCAGCAGACTGGTCAAGCTTTTCAGTGCAAAACATCCAAGTCACGCTGCTTCAAATTCGGTTCTGCCTCCGCTAACATTGACCTGAAGTTCAAGATTACACTTTGTACTGCAGAAACTTTATTATGCATTTATATTGAAATACTTAGTTTTCAAACTGTGGTACAGGGTGTTATTTCTAACCACGAGAGAAGTCTTTATTATGGGTACTGTAGTGTTTAGAAGCACCAAGCTGATGGAAAAACAAGCCGACTTCACAGAAGCAGTCCTCTGGTGGGTCGCTTTGAATACTAAGATACCTATGAGCCTCAGCTGCCATCGCTAAGCCAATCACTGATGCAAATGTAGCAAACTCGAAATGCTTAGTCATTGCAGCAAGGAGCCGAACATGCCGCTGCTGCTGCTGAATTGAATTCAGATTGATCCCGAATTTAAACTGATTTAAACTCGAGATTTCGTTACTCTTTTTTTTTTTCTTCTTCACAAAATGTTAGTTAACTTCCTCCATTTTTACATCCACAGACTTGATTTTTTTTTTTTATTTGTACGGATGAATCATTCAGAAGAGTTTTATGCCAACATAACCCGTTAGAAGTAATCCAACTCTGAGTCACACAGTGTCGTCTATGGGGAATATCAATGTGATCTTTAACTTTCAAAAACTACAAATGCTCCCACTTTGGAACTTTGTAGTCGTTAAATTCATTCAGAACTGACCCAGAATCTGAGCGCGAACTGATTTGAACTTGAGATTGTAAAATCAGTTTTCTACTAGGAATACTACGCCCGCCGTGAGCGATGCACACAGCAGAATCTAAAGCTCTGCGGTCGGACGCTTCCTATTGAAATGCACGTTTGAAGTTGTGGTTAACTTATCTCCTTCAGTTTTTTTTTTTACGTCCAGAGGCTTAAACCTTTGACTTTTTTTTTATCAAAGAGCCATATGTTTTCTGTCACTGTTTGTTCATTTTCTGTACTGATAACTCCACCAGGAGAGTTTTCATGGCCATCCAGCCCTTAGAAAATACTGAGTTTTACTTCTGAAAGCGACGGAAATAGTGTCTCCCACCTCATGCCCCCCCTGTGTTGAACACATCATTAGACGAAAATGTCAAAATGGCAATTTACAGCTAGGGGGGGAAAAAAAATAAACTGCCTCTCGCTTTGGACATCCACACAACACAAATTTAGCCATGTCACATTGCAAAGAAAAATCAAGACGATACGGAGAGGACTTCTAAAACGGCATCTTCACAATCAATACTTGAAACGATCCCAGTAGCAGTGTGGGATTACTCACTATCTTGCTTTAGCTGCTCAGACCTGATTGTGTGAGCGAGACTGTAAGCTAGCAAATGAAAGAGAGGTTTTTGGCTACAGGAAACAGCGAGAGGAGGTTGCGGTTGTCAGTGGTGGTTTCCTCATCCATCTGCCACACAACCACAACCTCGCCAAGCCACACACACACACACACTCAGATGAAACCACTCGCCCCCTTTCTTTCTTTCTTTCTTTCTTCCTCTCCTCACTGAGGATGTCTTATTCTTCAGTTGCCATTGGTTACCTGGCAATTCTGCTCTTAATGTCAATTACCTCCAGCTTGTTTATCCTTCGTGGTAAACACCGGGATTGAAGCTCAAATCCGAAGTCGCTACCCCGCTGTCTACTTTTTTCTAAGAAAAGGAGAAGAAAGAAAAAAAACAGTGTTTTTTTTTTTTGCTGGGATGTTTTTGGACTAATTTGGTTTGTTTTCGGCGCTGCTATATGACCTTATAATTTGTTGGGAGAGCAGTTGTTTGTTGTTTGCAGTGGCTTGTCTCTTCATCACCAACCAGTCTTGTCATCCCGCACGGCCGTAATTTCCTCCCTTTCCAACGTCGCCACATAATTTATCTGCTCCTTCTGTGTGTGAGAGAGCGAGTGGAAGAGGAGGGAGGGGAGAGGGAGACATGTAGATAGGCAGCGAGATAAAGATGGGGAGGTGGAGGGGAGGTGGGGGGGGGGTGAGGGAGGTAAGATGATGGTAGCAGTGTGTGATGAGGTGGGAAATGGGGGGCGGGAGGGGAGAGGAGGGGAGTCGGTTGCCCATGGATACGACCCCGATATAATTTGATTTGTGGCAGCAGGAAGCAATGAGTGAGCGAGCGCGAAAGGAGGGAGGGGGAGGGAGGGAGGGAGGATGTGGAAAAAAAAAAAAAGCGAGAGAGAAGAGAGGAAGAGAAAACGAGGGCGAGAAAATAAGAGAAGAGAGAGGAGAGAGAGAGAGAAGGAGGGATGAGCGAGGCTTAAGCATGCCGAAGCAGAAAGCAGCGAGCGACGGGAGAGATGGGGTGATGGCGGGAGAGAAAGATGGAGAGATTGAAGGTCTCACATGGCTGCTTTTCTCGCTTTCATCCTCAATGTCTCTATCTTATCTCTACCTCTCCGTCTGTTCTTCGTCTTTCTTTCCTTCCGTATTCAATTCATTTCAATTACAGTCGAGTTCAAAACTGTTTTTTTTGCCTGCAGAGCAGCCTGCAGCCAGAGAAACGCAGTCAGTATCGGTGCAGGTAAACCCCACAAGCAGTGTCAGTGGATCATTAATACATTCATTTGCTGACAGTATAATTAAGGTACAGTGTAATTGCCATAAATAGAAAAGACCTCAGCAGTCTTTAAACTCTTTCTCAACTTTCTCAGCGTGCTCAATAAGTTCTTGATTTTAAGTCTGTTGCACCTATCTACAGGACTTTTATTAGGACGTTTATTCACTGTGCCACAATTTGGGGTTTTCTTTTACTTAAAAAAAAAAAAAGGCATAAATTGGTACATATAAATTCTCTAGTTATCAAGTGTTTGAGGCTTAGTTTTTTGTTTTCATGAGGGAGGATGGCCCTTCGTCATGTTTCCCCTCAATGCTTAATCCAAATCTGCACCCCAGCTTGACAGACGTGCCCTCGAACAAGTTAATCTGACCTCCAAGTGTACAAAACAAACATGTCTGCATGGTTTAAGTGAAATGTAGACTCAAAGTAAATAGGTTTAGGATCACATAATCTAGTTCAGAAGACTCGACTCCAATCAGTGACGCCACAGCGAGGTTTTTGGCTTTCGCATCTGATGGAAAATGCGTTGACGTCACCCGTGGGCGTGTCCCGAAGTGCAGCACGCTCGAAACCTCCCAGCCCTCTTTCACACATCTGTGTACACATTTGCTTTTATTTCCATTTCTCCCATATCAAACACCGGATATTGTAGCGGTACCTGAAGCCTTTTCTTCTCTTTCTTCCGCTAATCTTTTCTCTCCCTGTGTGTGTTTGTGTTTGTGCAATCCTGTGTGTTTAATCCAAACAAAGCCAAATCTCCCTGGATTGTAAATACCAGTTGGTTATATCAGGGAAGCGCTTCTAAAGCCAACCAGCAGACAACAAGGGACCCTGTGCTTCAGCTACACTCCCAGTTCTGTTCTGCTTGTTCACAACTGAGGGGGCTTGTACAAGTGTGTGTGTGTGTGTGTGTGTGTGTGTGATGTGTGTGTGCGAGGGAAAGAGAGAAATAACGTGTGACAGAAGGAGAGTGTGGAAAAGAGAGCGGCGGAGAGAGTGTGTGACATAGAAAGAGAGCATGAAAAAGAGCATAACAGAGTGTGAAAACGACGGAGAGAGTGAATGTGACGGGAGGCAGAGGAGTGTGTGGAGGGGAAGCGAAAGCCAGTGTGTGCGCAAAATACAAACCGAGCACTTGAAAAGAGAGCGTGTTTAGACACTCTGTCTAGAAGTCTTTTTTCCTAAAAATGTCTCTATCTCGCATGTTTAACTCGCAGCGTTTTCATGCAATCGATCTTGCTTTGTCTCAAACAGCCGAACCACGAGCCTCGCCACGCACAACTATGAAACGACGATTATGAAATGCAAAATGATTGTTTCAGTTTAACCGAGAATAAGCCGGTTTGAAAGTCCAGGATGATATGAGCCAGTGGGGAATAGCTGAACATTTAAAAAAAAAAAAATAAAAGTGTTTTTTTTTTTTACTTTGCTGCCAAGACTCAGATTGAGTCACAGTGAGGTCAGATAACTTACTGTAGAAGTGCAACTTGTCGTTTGTACTGTTGCACAGAGAAACCAAACAAGTGGTGTCGGTTTTAGTGTCAGCAAGTATCAACACGTCGCCCAAGAGTTTAAACTGCTCCTTACATTGATTAAACTTTGTATATTATGCAAATTTTATTTATATTCAAAAAACATCAATGTCAAAATGAGCATTTCTTTAAACAGTTTGCTACACATCTAAAGTTTGTTGTGCGAGACGACACTTCTATTTGCTTATTTTTTAAATATTTGTTTAGTATTGACTGTTTCAAGGCTTTTTACAGTATTTAGTTATCATTTGCTTTCATTTATTTCACACTCACAAGAGTCTCTGAGCCGCGAATGTCACGATCTGAACACTCATGTCGACGCAGCATCCTTCATGGAATATATCAGGAGCTAAAGCTGATTGAGTTAGTTGCATGAGGGCCTTAATCTAATTGTTTTTAGTATGTATAGTGAATAAATAATGAATGTTCTGGTATCATCTGAGAGCAAGAGCAGAGTAAACTACGGTACAGCTGAGATCTGCTGTAGAGAAAGTTGGCTTCTTCGCTGCTGAAAGTCAGCCAGACGTTTTTGTGGAAAGGCTTAATGTCTGCTTAAAGTGGCTTTTTATTTTGGGTTGCCCTAATGCGATTTAGGTTGAATTTGGAGGGAAAGAAAGATGGTTATCAGTCTGTAATTTTTGTAAATGTTTGCCACTTGTAGATGTGGACATTTTTCATTTGTGAATGTTGAACTCAGCAGTCCTGAGAGAAATTTTTGGCCCCTTGAAAATGAAAACAGCTCATCCATAATCCCTGGCATGTCGCCAGAGGCCTGGCCTGGCTCTGGGGCCCACATCATCAAACATTCAGGGGAAGCGGTGCCATAAAGACATATTTTTCCTAAAACAAGAAATGTCAGAAGACTGAGATAATGCCCTTGTTTTCACTTCAGTGTTTTTTTTAAAAGAATATTGCTCCATTGGAAAATTACATCTACCGAACTTCTAGCTTTTGAAAACTAGCATTTTTTTAATTTGTTTGTCATAAATTAAAGATGTACCAGCATGTTATTAAATCTCTTTTTTTTCTCCCCTCTCTCCTTCCCCGCTCGCCTCCTTTTCTCGCTCCACAGGTGACTTTCACCAAGCGGAAGTTCGGTTTGATGAAGAAGGCGTACGAGCTGAGCGTGCTGTGCGACTGCGAGATCGCTCTCATCATCTTCAACCACTCCAACAAGCTGTTCCAGTACGCCAGCACCGACATGGACAAGGTCCTGCTCAAGTACACCGAGTACAATGAGCCCCACGAGAGCCGGACTAATGCCGACATCATTGAGGTAACGCGTGGAGACGGGAGGGAAGGGCAGCGGGTGTAGCAGCGGGAAACAGCTCTTATGTTTACACTCCTCAGAAGGTTCATAACACAGTGATGCCGATTGCACCCCGGCAAAGTTCTCGCATCAAACAGTCCACCTCTCCGACTCCCCATCGATGTCTATACATCTTTAAACATTTCCATTCATAGATGCATCGTCATTTTGTATTTATGAATGTTGGCGAGCCCGTTGTTGATGCATCCTACCAGTATTTAGTTTTTTTTCCCCCCTCGTGGGATGATTACGATTTAATCTTAACTAATCTAATCCAACCCACTCCAGACTCAGATTCAGACTCAATTAAGCCTTGTGCAGTTTATTAAGTCCAGTCTAGTTCGTTGCAGTCGAGTCTGTTAACAGTTTTTTTCTGCCTTTGGTCCAGAATGGTCTGAAGTTGATCCTTAAAGCCAGGATTTTGACACAGATTAGCATAGTTTGCAGTTCATTTAATTTAAAATTAAAAGACTATTTTGAGAAATACAAGATTGATATCACTTTCATGGCTGTTTGCTGACTATGGGGTTCGAGCCAGACGCGATTAGCTTAGCTTAGCATAAACACTGGAAGCAGGTGGGCAGACAGCTAATGTGAGTTTTAAATTTCTTACTTCTCAGTGTTTCCTAAGCTCACTAAATGATTCTGATATCTTGTTTGTTTTCATCTGTGTGAAAGCCAAAATAGGAAACTGTGGTGTGATTGAGGTTATGTGTAGACAGACCCATGCTAGCTATCGCACCACGCTTTCAGTCTTAACCACCTCTCGACTGTGGAAGTAAATGATTTGATGAACACGCTCGAGAGTTCCTGTTAATTAGCAAATGAGAAAATACAGACGGCTGCACATGGTACTGGAAGATGATCAATATATTTTCTGTAGTGTTTTTTTTTCTAGTATTGATTTTTCTATTGCTAATATGTGTAGTATAACTTATTAAATTATACAAATAGGTTCCTCTCATTTAATCCACTTTGTTTCCCATGAATCCCTGCAGTCCTGTGTATTTTATCCCAGTCCAGTTTAGTCCGCGTTGCCTTAGGCCAGTCCAGTTTCGAACCGTTGAGTCCGGTCCATCACAGTTCTGTTTAAGGCTGTGTTCTGGCTCGGTGCCAGCGAGCTTACAGTGAGGTAGGGACAGCTGGGCCTCCCCTCTCCTCCTCCCCTCGCCCCCTCTTACCCCTCTGGCATTGGCCGTATTGTTACCCAGAGAACCTATCCAACAACAATAACAGCAACAAGCCAAAGGACAGCGCCTGGAACCAATTGGAAACCACCTCGGTACAAAATGGCCACCAAGCGGAGGGAGAACCTGTCAAGTGGAGACGAAAAATAACGTTTGCTCATTTGCATATTGACGCACGGAGAGGTCAGAGATGAGGTTATAGGGGAGAAGGTGTGAGGGAAATCATTATGCTCGGTTTTTATGTTTTTGTAATAGGAATCCATTTGTTTCCTAACGTCTTTCATCCCTGTGGGAAAAAAGCTCCGCTGGAGCTTGTCAGGCGAACACGGAGCACATTCACATGCCTTGCTGACCCTTTTATACATAATGGCCCTCTCATGAATTGAACACGAGATGGTTAGGTATGATTCAGCGAGCCGTGTACACTGCAGTATAGCACTTATGCCTCATATGGAGCGTTGACTTAAAGCTGGATCTCGCTTGGCTTTGAATATTTTCCTCGGTTGTTTTTTTACACATATTGCAGCAGGTTAGTGATCGGTCAGCCTCCAACACTGTCATCATGAAGTCACCGTGTGTTTTACTGTCATGTTTGCTGCTCGTTCTAAAGACGTACTCCACCAAAAAAAACGCTGTCTAACAATGACATGGCCAACTTTTAAATAGGTTTAAGCCGTTAAAGTTGGGTACTGACGTGATCTGATCTGATTAAAACTTCAAATCCCCCAATTTGAAATTCGCTCCAATTTTCCAAACAGAAATTTGGTCAAATTGGCCCAATAGTTCTGGAATGAAATCTTGTGTTGGCAACCAAGAGAAGGAAAATAAATAATTGAGTGGGAGTGATTCCGAATCACTGCTTTTCAGCTGCTGCTGGTAAACTGCTGAATGACAACCGTCGGAAAAAAAAAAAAGCATAATTCTACAGAAATAAATATTAGTTGCAACCTTTGCTTCTCCACTACCTTTTGAATCACAGCACTTATGAAGTAAGCGTTACCTAGCCGTGTCCCAGGAGTGATGAACTTTGACAGCAGATGATGAGTTTTATTTCCCCCCTCTCAGGCTGTTTTATCAAATACGTTATTGGAAGAAACCCAGAGGCTACAAACATTGTTTGATTCATCTCATGAACCCAAGGGATGCTCATATGACCTCTAACTCTTGCTTTAAGGCATCATTCTTTTCCAAGTCCTATGAAGCTTTCCACAAACATCTAAATCAATCACTAGTTACAGTTGTGCGCTGGAAGTGTTTCACATACAGCTGATAGCCATTTTCCACTGCAGGAACCAAGGAAGAAGTCATCAGCAGGAACCGTTATTCTAAATTTAGTTCCCGGCTTCTAAAAAGACCCAGCTCTTGGTTTTGTGCCGTATTGACCTCCTCACTCTGACCCCTTACTCTACCCTAATCGTAACACACTGAGCAGTTTACAAAAGGACTTTTTGAAGATCCCTCCTCCCTCAGACTGGTGCTGCTGGGACACTTTCCTCCTGAGTACTAGAGAGTCTTCATATGAGAAACCTTCAAATAAAGCAGACGTAAATCCCACATTCAGACCCAGGAGCTGCGCTCCTCATTTTCCTGTAGAGGAATTTGTTTACTTCTCATCATAGAAAGGTTAAATCGCGGCCAGAATAACACTTCCAAGGCTAACCGACTCACAGGCTTACACAGTCTGTAGCCACATTACGGCTAAAACGGCGTAAACAGATTCAGCTAATTGAATGTGCTAAAGGGGACCCGCAGTGAGTGTGTTCCTGAAATTGCTAAGTTTAGTTGCACGGTTATTATTGGTTATTATTTGGTTGAAAAGAGGCAGGAGGTCGTTGCGGCCAAAGCAGAATGCATCTTAGGGGAATTTCATCCAATAAGGGCTTAAGTCCAGTAATTGCTGGAATCTCAGTGAAAGTGTCGGTGAAGCAGTTTTGTCTTTGAGTGGGCCGGAGGTAAGACTGAGGTAGCAGAGTTTGGGGGCCATATTTTTTTTCCCCTCCACCTCGCTGTCGTCTGTCACTTTCTCTCTCTCTTCCTTTCACTTCCTGGCTTCTCTTCCCTCCTAATCTCCCGATTCACTCGGTCACGACAATTTTTTTATTTTTTCTTCCCCCCACTTCTTTCCTGTCCTTCTCTTTCTGTCTGTCTCAGAGTGTCAGCAGTAAAGCCTTTCTGTAGGCTGTATCTCCAGCTGCAGATGGCTCTTAAGTGTATGCAAGTGTGTGTGTGTGCGAGTGTGTGTGCGAGTGTGTGAGTGTGTGTGTGTGTGTGTGGCGGCAGGGCGTTGGGCTGCTCCGGGCCACATCAGCTCAAGCTCCACTGGCTCTGTTTGTGTGCGTACATGTGTTTGTGTTTTCAAGTGTGTCGCTCTGTCTCTTTCCCTCTCTTAACGTGTGTTCATTAGTGTGTGTGTGTGTGTGTGTGTGTGTGTGTGTATACGTGTATGTGTGTGTGTGTGTGTGTGTGCATAAGTCCACCTCTCCCTCTCTGTTTGCACGCTCTGCAGTGGCCCATGAGAACGCCTCATACAATATTCAAGCTTGGTGAGCCTCTCGGTTGTGTGTGTGTGTGTGTGTGTGTGTGTGTGTGTGTGTGTGTGTGTGTGTGTCCTACATGGAGGCTTCACTCCTATACCGGCCTTTATGCTGCCCTCCCACCCTCCTTTCTCATCGCTCGTCCTCTCTCTCTCTCTATCTCTCTCTCTGTAGGCCAGGAGGCATTTAGCAACATTCTCCAACATTTGTCCTCAGCTGTCCCCTTTGCCAGATGTGCTGCAGCGCACACCTCCTTGTTAAGCGGGTGTTAGTGTCATCCGCCCACGCCGTTTTCCATTAATCCTTGTTATTTTGCGGTAGCGTCATGAATCACTACAACTGCAAAGAAGAAGAAGAAGAAAAAAAAGAAGTCATCAAAAGCAACATTTCAGTAAAAATAACGACACAAAATGCTAAAAAAAAAAAAACAATAATCAAAAGTGTGGGTTAAATTTAATGAGCCTTGTTTTGAGTGTAAAATCTGTAAATATAGTCGTCACATAAATATTGTGGAGTACGATATCTAGATCTGTCTGTGTCGGTTTAAAGACTTCCCATCTGCAAATCCCTGAAAAACACCAAAACTAACAATCTATTAGTGAGTCTCAAGGACTTTCCTGCCCTGTCTGTGGCTCTCAGCTCGAGAGTTTTTAAAAACACTTTACATGTATATTTTTTTCTTTAAAAAAAACATCTCTCAGTAGCAGTAGGGGTTAAACTGGGTTTTGTAATGTGGACAATCTCCCAGTGTGAAAACTGACCAGCTGATGACAACGAAACCTTTTCCACAAGCGCTCTTCTGTGAATCACCGTCAAATACACGAGTTCCAGCATTAGGCTGCCATTACAGGAAGAGCAAATAATTCATATGAATGGATTAATATGCGGCGGTACCAGTCTTTGTAATAAATACACGCACAGGGAATTCGTTTGCATTCTACAGTAATAAAACACACACATACATTAATGATGTTATAGCCAGGAGATGATCAAACCGGCTTGTGTAGCCGCGCTGCAATTTGAGCCGCTTTGATCTGCTCGGACCACACCAGCTAGCGTTAATGTAAATCGACTCGTAGACGTTTAAGCCGAATATCGGACCGATTTACATTCAGTTATGAAACAAAATGAGGTCTACGTGTCGGTTTCTGACCCATTTCTCTTCCTACCTTGACATCCATTCGTCCGGGCCATCTGTGACGTTCTATTAGACTCTAAAGCTGCAATTAGTCGAGAGTTATTAAAC